TGACCACTGGTCTTGCTAGCTAGGGATGATGGGAGTTGTAGTCCAAAAACAGCTGGAGGCCCAAGGTTGGGAAACACTGGTCTAGAGAGCTACCATCCTGGTCAACATCTTATTTGGTGTTCACTGCTCTCATAACCATACCAGTCACATATACCCTCTATCTCTTTGAGTTGAATCCAACAAAGTCATACTCAAAGTATGGACTTGTGACAGGGGAGGAGAGGGATAAAAACCCTCTCCACATGCCCCTGCAAAACTCTATAGAAAAGATTTGAATATTGAAGTTATGGACATGTAATTTCAACATTTGCTGTGGCAGTCGGAAACAAATACATATTTTAATCTTTTTTTTCTTGAGTGTACCGGGGTGGGGGTGGCAGCTAACCTGTGGTCCTGCAGTTATTGTTGGCGTCCAGTTTCCATCACCTCCTGGCAGCATGCCCAGTAGTCAGGAATGATGGAGTTTTAGCCCTTCTGCAGAGTCACAGGTTAGCTTACCTGGTTTTGCTCAGGATGCAGTACTCACAGTATCCACTTGGAAAGTAAAGGTAAAGGGACCCCTGACCGTTAGGTCCAGTCGTGACCGACTCTGGGGTTGTGGCGCTCATCTCACTTTATTGGCCGAGGGAGCCGGCGTACAGCTTCCGGGTCATGTGGCCAGCATGACTAAGCCGCTTCTGGCAAGCCAGAACAGCGCACGGAAACGCCGTTTACCTTCCCACCAGAGGGGTACCTATTTATCTACTTGCACTTTGACGTGCTTTCGAACTGCTAGGTTGGCAAGAGCAGGGACCGAGCAACGGGAGCTCACTCCGTCGTGGGGATTCGAACCGCAACCTTCTCATCAGCAAGTCCTAGGCTCTGTGGTTTAACCCACAGCGCCACCCGCGTCCCGTACTTGGAAAGTAAAAAGGTAAAGGGACCCCTCTGACCATTAGGTCCAGTCGTGACCGATTCTGAGGTTGCGCGCTCATCTCGCTCTATAGGCCGAGGGAGACGGCGTTTGTCCACAGACAGTTTCCGGGTCATGTGGCCAGCATGACTAAGCCGTTTCTGGTGAACCAGAGCAGCACACGGAAACGCCGTTTACCTTCCCGCCAGAGCGGTACCTATTTATCTACTTGCACACACTTAGACATGCTTTCGAACTGCTAGGTTGGCAGGAGCAGGGCGCTCACCCCGTCGCGGGGATTCCAACCGCTGACCTTCTGATCGGCAAGTCCTAGGCTCTGTGGTTTAACCCACAGCGCCACCCGCGTCCCACTTGGAAAGTAAGTGCTGTTAAATTCAATGGTGCTTGCTAACAGGTAAGTAGTGGGGACTAGGAAAGCAGCACTGGTTGTATAGATATCTTAAGTGGATAATGCCAGTCGGGCTTGCCCACCTCTGCACTCCTTTCCTCTAGAGTGGTTTAGTCACTTTGTGAATCTGCCTTCTGTATATTTCTCGTCTTCAGCATGGAAACTCACATTTCCCATGGTTTTTTTCTTTTTTTAATGCTATAAGCAATCCACACCCAGAAGCAAGGCCAAACATAGTAATAGAGATGTAATATTGTACGATTGGCACAAAACAATAGTCTTCTTAATCATCCTGGAGATTCCCAAATGACTTACTTTTGCTGTAAATACAGCTGGCAATAAACACAACTAAACGGCACATTCCATTGACATTTTTCAAGTAGCAACATTAATATAAATACTGATTTCTTTTTAACGTAAGTTTGATATGCTACAATCTTGAGATATTAAAAACTCATTTCAGAATAATGTTTGTAGTATCACAAACTAAATTTATCTGAGTAGTGCCTCTGCAGAGGTTAATGAAGCATGCATGTAGCCCATTATCTTTAATATGAAAACTCTTTAATAGAAAACAATTATGTGAGCTTTGTCATTATTATTATTCCCCTAGGATGAAAAGACTTAAATGAAGGGAATCAAACGCATCTTTATGTATATCTTTGAAATAAGTATGATTACCTTTATTTTCTTCATATGAAGAGGCTTACAAAATAAACGTCCTTCTGAGTTATTTTCAGGTTCTTATGCATGGGTTTAATCTTTTGAAGAACCTCTGTGTATCTGCCACTGAATCCTGTATGTTGTAGATTATTTAGGAGTGGAGGTGGGGAGGGCATGTATTGTCACTTTGCACAAGGTGCCAGTCAGGCCTTTTGGACCTAGAAAAGACTCAACTCTTCGCCCCTTCCTCAGGACAAACTCAAACGGTTGGAAATATATTTCTGGAAACCTTTAAGTTTTCTGTTCTTTTTGTCAAACAACATAAGAACACAATCTGAAAACTCCACTCTTCCCATATTGCCTTTTAAAAAAATTATGTGATTGGCAGAATTCAGTGTGTGCAATAATTTTTTCGATTTTTTCTCAGTTCTTCACTAAAGTAGAATAAGCATTGACCCTGCTGATTTGGGAAAACAGAGCTTCAGTTCTTTTAACTCTTGCATGTAGAGATATTTATGCTAATTCAAAGTAGGTTTATTTCCAATGACAACCAAACTGCTTTTTTAGGGTTGCTAATCAGTCATTTTAAAGACTTTTACAGACTGGTGCAGCAATCCACCTTCTGAGAACAAGCCATTTTTAGCTTTCTCCTCCTCTTTGAGCAAGCTTTTATTTAGTGCCCCAGCTCCACCCTTTCCTATGTTTGTGGGGCAATAATCAGCAGCTGTTCCTCTAAGGACTTTTTGTTTGACAACACACACATCTTAATTCTTTTAGGGATCTACATGGTACCAGAAGGCCATAACAGCCAGATATATTTTTCTGACTTCTTTGCTTTAAAAAAAATTAAAATCAGGAAGCGCAAGACAAAGCACAGTAGAACAAATATTTTGGAATCATAAGATATCTCACAACCCTTTTTCATTTGGTAATAATTAGCTTCACATGGTAGAAAGTAGCGTATTAACATCAGACTAGAAAGTGGGAAAGGTGGAAAGCTCCCATATATGGCGATAGACTCCAGAAGCTTTACCCAGATGTTGGCCCCAGACTTCAGTAGGTACACTTATCAACAATTCCTGTGCAGACTCCAAACTATATTCATGGTGCAGAATCAGTATTATACTGATAATACCAATCACTGCATGTTTCACTTAACAATGTATAGGAGCTCTCATGCAAAGTGACCAATAAGAAAGAAATCAGTATGAGTTAGCACATGTTGTACTACATGTGTTGATTTTATATGTGTGTACAAATTGTAGAGTTGAAAGGGACCCCTAGAGTCATCTTTCAACCCCCTGCAATGCAGTAAAAAGTATCCATAAGAATACACATACATGAATTTGTTGAAATAAAATAAAATTGTCCAGTAGCACCCTTAGAGACCAACTAAGTTTGTTCTGGGTATAAGCTTTCATGTGCCATGCACACTTCTTCAGATACCTTGTCCAATACAGAGCATTCCTCCTTTATTTGCTTCTGTTTAGAGTACAGAACGCTGATCAGATGTTTGAGCAGCTTCTTGGAGAGAGTGTGGCATAGTTTCTTTACATATTCAGTAGAATAGGTGGATTGTACAGGGTTCTAAATTCTAAGACCCTTAGGTATAATGTCCAGGTTGTTTCATTTAGTCAGAAAGGAGATATCAGTCTGTACCTGTGCAAGTTTCTTTGTGAGGTTGATGGACTTCCATTTCATGCAGTTCATTGTGGTGCCTTCCATGATTCTAGATTCAGGTAGGTAGCTATGTTGGTCTGACGCAGTCAAAATAAATAAAAAAAGTAAAAAATTGTCCAGTAGCACCTTGTTGTCCAGTAGAGACCAATTAAGTTTGCTTATACCCAGAACAAACTTAGTTGGTCTCTAAGGTGCTACTGGACAATTTTTTAATGAATTTGTTGAAAGCCAAAATGCATGTTACTGGCAGTGCTTAGAACTGAATCCAGCTTTCTTAACATCTTTGAATGTCACTGCTTTCTTAGCATGGAAGGTTTGTATGGATTTACAATATTTTCAAGCAATTAATTCAAATAGAGAAGTGCATGTCAGTCAACAGGTGTTGATGGGAAATACCAATAATTCATAGGTATTAAAATAAGTGTCCAGTATTGATCTGATACCCTTGGAGCTTTTTATTTTTTTAAAAAAAACCAACAACAACAGCACCCAGTGGTGATTATGGCAGGCTGATAGAAGCCCTTTGTTGAGTTTTTCTTTTTAAACTATATTATAGTTTTAACAAGCAACCAACGCCCCCCATCACGCCAAAATAATAATTCAACCAGCCTAAGATCAGTACAAAATACAAGAAACAGCAACCCTGTATGTACTCAAATTTAATGCTCACTGTTTTTGGCTAAATTATGTTGCGAAAATTAAGGTGCACATTAGATGCAATGCCACATTTACATTCACCAGCTAATACTTCTTTGGTTTCAAGGTTCTGAAAATTGAGGTACGCATTAGATTCGATGGCGCATTAGACCTGAGTAAATCTGGTAAAAAAAAAAATACTCAACACAATAAAACCAACACCTCATGGCAACTGATCCTGCTAGTCTAAAAGCCACAGTGTATGCTGTTTTACTGGCTATCAGTTACATAGTTCTGTTATGTTCCACTGGTACATCAGTGTGAGTCAACATTGCTATGCCTAGAACAGCGTTGACCTGGCAAACTTTAGTCTTAGGTGGTACAAATTTGGACAGAAATGAATTGTGACAGATGTAAAACAACACATGTAAGCATCACCTTGAGGGCTTTTCAGCTGCTACAAAGCTATGTTAGGAAGGTGGGTTTGTTGCACTAACAAGCATAGCAGATTGGCTCTTTCCATTTTTAAAAAATATGCAATTTTTAAAATGTGTATCTAGTTTCAAGTGCGTAATTCTGTGGTTTGCTTGTAAGTTTAAATTAGACTATCTGAACATTTGTTCTCGTTTCTGTCTTGTTTTATCATTCATAATTTTATCAAACTTTATAGTCTGCACAATGTTTGGAATTTTAAAAGTTTCTCCATTTGTGCCTACCTAGATATTGTGAGGAAGATATTTAAAGAAAAGGGCATCGTCACAGGAGATGATAAAGCTTTTAAGCCTCACTTGACCTTCATGAAGCTGTCAAAATCGCCAAAACTACGAAAACAGGTGCAGTCACTTTGTACATCACAATATCTATACAAATGGTGGGGGAATGCTATGACCCTTAAGAAATTGTACTGTAAAGGAGGTTCAAATTTCAAAACACAGTAACCCAGAAGTTAAGTAGTGATGCTTAAAAATACAGTGGTACTTTGGTTTAATAACAGTCCTGTTTAAGAACGATTTGGTTTACAAACTCCGCAAAACCGGAAATAGTGTCCCAGTTTGAGAACCTTACTTCGGTCTAAGAACGGAATCCGAACAGTAGAAGGGCACCAGTGGCAGGAGGCCTCATTAGGGAAAGCGCACCTCGGTTTAAGAATGGTTTTGGTGTAAGAATGGACTTCCAGAACGGATTAAGTTCGTAAACCGAGCTACCACTGTATATATTATTTTGGGCAGTATCCAAGGCATTTGTTCCATTAGTGCAAGAATTCTCCCTCTATGCCCTCCCCAAATCTGTTCCAGAGGGTTGGCTGTGTGGCAAACTCCCTGAATATTGATGGGGGCGAGATAATGTGACAGTGTTTTGGGTGATTTAAAAGTTAGACACTCCTGTCAGTAACGCTGGAGAAAGATTTTCTGCATGTGGTAGCATTTACTAATATCCAGCAACAAGAACTCTTAATGTGAAATGAAAATCTGTGACCACTTATTCACTAACCAGAGGATCAAAGTAAGGATGAGGCATGTTGGAAACCAAACTGGAATTTTTAAACACACTCATTGAGGATTACAGCTTAATTGTTACTCTGATAAGGCACAGCCCTTAGTTTTGGTCAAAGCCACTTTAGAGAAGTTTTTTTTAAAAATCTGTTTCTAATTTAACTGATTCCTCCTGGAATGGTTATTTCTTCTACTATGCTAGTAAAACTCTAATGCAAATGTCCACACTGACTTGCAACAATTAAATTATATCTCCTCAGTCTAGTGTATAAACATTTAAAGTATTATCGTGATTTATATTAACCAATTTCTCCTGAATGTGTTCTGAGACTATAGATAATAATCTGCCAAATTTCTTTCCTTTATAATAATTCAACATTGTTTGGTTATGTAGCTTGTTTTAGGTTTTTTTTAGAGTATAATAAACATACTTAAGGCATACTTAAGTTCATATTTATTCTTTTTTTCATATTATTCAACAATAATTTGTTTAAACAGTAAAGAGAAAGTTTATGTAAAACTGAACAATAACAATGAATAGAACACAAATATAATATTTTAATAGTCTTATTTAATTTTACCTAATAAACAATTCAATTATTTAAAGTAATTTATTTTTCTTATATTTATTAGTATTATGCACCTGAAGATGTATGCTTCTCTTTCAAATAATCTTTCCAAATATCGCTTATTGTTACTATAGAATTCCTTCATTACCTAAGTAATGCAGTGAAGGCCAGAGAGTTGTCTAAAGATCCCTAGCAGCTTTCTCTCCTAGGGCATGAGCACTTTTAAGCATCCTTTTCCTTCTGTCTTTCCCAAGGCATTTCTGCCACTACATTGTGGTAGTGTGTCAAGTACCTGGTATGCATGGCTGCATTCATTTTGGTGGATCACAAGTTGTGCAGGCTTCTTTGACATCTATAGATGAATTAACTTGAGCAAGGACTCCCGTTTCTTTTGTTTGTCATAACCAACTAAGCAGAAGCAATTCAGTACATGTTATGCCTTTTTAATAGGGTGCAATATGGTTGCTGAAGAGGGAAGCACCTCTTCACTCATAAACTCCTTTAAATCCAGCTGAGGATTATCGAGATCCAGGGAGAGGAATTTATCTACCAGAGATTTGCAACTTTGCAACTGTTTCTCCTTTGAAGAATGGTCAGCGTGTTGGATGGGTTTCCCATTGCGGAGCAACTCTGACACTTCTACTCCTCGGGCAATCAGTTTAGGTGGCATGCCAGCCAAATCTGCAATATTAGCTGCATGGCTGACAGTGGACATGCCTTCTTTGACACGGTAGAAAAACACAAGTTCATCTCCATCTTGGTGGGTGTCCATAGTCAGATATTGCAGAAGAGGACTGTCAGGCAGGAGATTCAGCTGCATCAGGCTGTGGAAATTAGTGGCAACAAAAATGTGTGGGCATTGGGTTCCTTGTCTAATCCAGTACCTTAGCACAGCCGCCAGAAGAGAGAGGCCATCTACTGTGTTTGTGCCTTTGCCAAATTCATCAATGAGCACCAAAGACCTTTCAGTGGCATTGTTTACTGCCTTGGCTACTTGGTTAAGATCAATCATGAAAGTGGACAGTCCTAGAGATACTGACTCTCTGCTATGGATCCTGGTGTAGATTCCATCCACTGCCCCTATCTCAGCTTCAGCAGCCGGAACGTAGCTGCCAATTAGGGCCATAAATGTAATAATGCCTATCTGCTTTAAATATACACTCTTTCCAGATGAATTGGGTCCAGTGAGGATCTTAATCCGGCCATGCGTTTCAGTGCTCTCCGCTGAGTTGGGGAAAAAGGTCTTTGCACATAACTCCATCAGTGGATGCCTTCCATCCTTAATACGGATCATGTGGGAGTGAGAGAAGCATGGACGGATATATCCATTCTCACGAGCCATCACTGCTAAAGAGAGCAGCACATCTAAGTGTGCTGTGTATTCAATCACATCACTAAGTACTGCAGACTTTTCCAAAATCTTAGTCTGTAGCTGGTCCATGATCAGTATTTCTTGATCCCTTATTTCACAATGAAGATCACCAAGCAAACTATCCAGTTCCTTTGTCCTGGCACTGCGGTAGTGAAGCTTTTCTTCTGACAAGAACATGAAATCTAGTCCCTCAATGTCAAAGTCACTCATTTCCACCATTGTGGGCAGCCGTGGAATGGAGAGTAAGAATCCTATTAAGGGAATATAAATAACGGTACAGGATGGAATTCTATTATCCAGGTCCTCCAGTTCTTTTCGGGCCACCTCTGTAAGGAAGGCTGAAAGCCCCATCAGCTTTCGTTTCTTTTCATCAATGGTGGGATCTACATTTGGTCTGACAGTGAAGTGGTTTGCTGAGATACTGCCTTCAAAATCTACCACTTTGCTGATTAGGCTGGCAATATAGTGTAGATCTTCAGTGAAGACTTGTGAAATAGTCTGGAAGAGCTCAATGGTATTGGGCAGGGAGCGACACGTATCTCTGAGGCACACAGCACTGTAAACGGTTTTGTACAGTGCTTGCCAGTCACTTACCTTAGTGTTAGAAACAGCCATGCGCCTAAGAATCAGGGGTACATTTTTAATATTTTTGAGGCATTCCTGTAGGGTCAGAACTATTTCATGATTCCGAGCTAACAGGAAAAATTGGATAACATCAAGACGTTTGTTCAGTTCTGTCAAATTGCGCGTGGGTCTCATGAGCCACAGTCTCATCAGCTTCTCTCCCCACTTGCATCTGCAGTGGTTCAGAATCCCATATAAGCTGAGTCCTTCTTTTTTCCCGCTGGCTTGTTTATACACAGAAGGATGCACTTCACTTTTAAATATCTGCAGCACAGAGTAAGCATCTTGATCTACGTGTACAATATCTGTCAGTACAAACTTTTTAAAGGCAAGGATAGGAACATTGACGCTACTATCTTCCAGTTCAACTCCAACCCTCCTTCTGTCAAGAAACTTCAGCAATCCTCCTAGCACTCTTACCACGAGTGGGCTCTCAAAAGGAATAATAGACGACAAATAGAGGATTTTCTCAGTTGCTGTCATGTCAGAGGGGACAAAAGGGAATTGCCTCGATAGGATCCTTTGCTTGCTTACTTCTAAACCAAAATCCATATTTGGATACAGGACAACCTCTGGCTTTCCTCCTTCCTGATGTTCTCCCATAGTATTACCTAAATTGGACAGGAATTTGGCTATGCTATAATCTTGCTTAGCACTACTTAATATGTATTTGGGAAGCACTTCATCAACCACTTTCTGGAGCAGCTTAAGGTCTTCATTGTCTGGTGTGTCAGCCATAAAGTAGATAGAACAGTCTCCAGTGTCATAGTAGGCAATACCCAGCTCTCCTCCATACCACAATACACACATGCAGATCTCATGCTGTTCTTGTTCATCTTCTTGATCAATGGTAGGCAATGGTTGGGGCTGGCAGTTGGTGGCAAAAGAAGCAGTAGCACTCATTTTTAACAGAATTCTAGAAAATATGTGGCTGGGTAAAGAAAACATTCTTTTTAGTGTTTCATTCTTTAACTCCACCACTTTTCCTCACAAAGCTACCCTCCCATATGGCTATTTCTCCAAGCCTATGATATCACTGTTCTTATTTCTTACATGGCCTTGTTATATTTTATCTTACTCTGGGCATTCCTCTCTCAGTATATATGTCTCCTAATCAGTTGCAGGAAAAAAGTGGGCAGATCACCCAAGACCTCACTTCTGGTAGGCAAGGAGTATCTAGTTTGCAGTGTTAAGGCAGGTGTCTAGTTCTGAGATGCACATTTACTGCAATATCACACTCATGACCTGGTTGAGGACAAGCAAAGAGTGTCACTTTCCTTAAACAAATTCACATTGTTTCTTCCACTACAGAACCCTTCCCTAATAACAAGTTTTGTTAATAGCCAATTTCACAAAGTAGCACCTTAAATTAAAATTGCAGAAATAGGTCCCCCAATCACACTATAATGTTTTTTCAACATTATTCTCTATGTGTAGTAAGGTAAAGTATCTGCTTACATATATATGTATGATAGAAAGATCAGGTGGTACTTCTGTGTTTGAGCATTTCCTCACGTGTGCAGTGTGGTATGCTTCAAAGTTGTAAATGAAAGAGAGAATGGTATGAATGAATGAATGAATGAATGAAGAGAGGTATTGTATATGTGTTGGTGGAAGTGAATGAGTGAGTCTGCAACGAGGAAAGAGGGAAATGGAACATCACCCTTTCCTACCTTTCTTTCTTTGCTGCATATGCTATAGAAACAAAACAAACAGCAACAAAAATAACTGTTACAACAGTTGTCTAACAACAAAAATAACTGTTACAGCTACATTTGAAAAAAAGAAAGACTTTCAAAAATTTCACAAGATTATTAGACACAAAAGGCACCAAAAGGATTCTATGATTGATGATTGATGATTGATTGATTAAGTAAATTAGTATTTTGTGAAGATGATACAGGTAACTCACAACTTATACTCATTTAACTTGTGCACATTCAGCTTTACATGCTTAGGGGCGGGGAATTAAAAAAATAAAAAATAAAATGGGGTGGACACCAAGGGGGAAAAACCTTTTGCAATCCCAGTCACCACTGCACCCAGTGTGTTTTGACCATACACCATTTTGGCTTTAGGCACTATCCTCAGAATGTAAGCCTCATGTAAGTTTAGAGTCAGCTATACCGTAATAGTCTTACCTGAATTCTTCTTAATTTGCTAATTGTGAACTGTCACCATTTGAAGAGTCTAGAGAAAACAGATAGATTATACAGAATAGGTAGAATCAGATGCTTTTGGACCTTTATAGCAATATGAAAGGTAGCTAATAAACTGTTCAAGAAGTGGTTTTGAATGTACAGGAGAGTGAGGTGGACTTTGATATGAGACTAACCACTAGAAAGTATAATTAAGAGGAGATTCATCATTCTTTAGCATGAAAGTAATATTTTACAACATGGCTTTTGCAAGCAAAGTAACAAGAAAAATGTGAACAAGGTAGTTTGTCTTCTACACAGAACAAGTAGAGAGCTTGAACAATATTTAAATACAAAAACATAGTTAATCACATGCATGTGAGGCCTCTTGAGTTCAGTGTTTCAGCATATCTGATATAATGGTTAGATAAGAGATCAGTATCCAACTGTTGAGTGAATCAACATGATCCATTTGGTGTCTTATTCTCAAATTGGGTGTACAGTGGTACCTCGGGTTACATACGCTTCAGGTTACAGACTCCGCTAACCCAGAAATAGTGCTTCAGGTTAAGAACTTTGCTTTGTGATGAGAACAGAAATTGTGCTCCGGCGGCACGGCAGCAGCAGGAGGCCCCATTAGCTAAAGTGGTGCTTCAGGTTAAGAACAATTTCAGGTTAAGTACAGACCTCTGGAACAAATTAAGTACTTAACCTGAGGTGCCACTGTACTAGTTTCTATAAAATTCATTATGAATTTGTGCGTGTGTTTGGAAATAGTTGTATGACTGCTTTACCAGATTACGGTTGTACGTAATGTTTGAAAAGTCAAAAAACCCACCAGAGGTTTGGCAGGCCTTATAACGATCATGGGAACCAGGCAGAGGGCCTTCTCGGTTGTGGCGCCAGTCCTGTGGAACGCCCTCCCATCAGATGTCAAGGAAATAAACAACTACCTGACTTTTAGAAGACATCTGGAGGCAGCCCTGTTTAGGGAAGTTTTTAATGTTTGGTGCTTTATCGTGTTTTAAATATTCTGTTGGAAAACCCAGCCAGATGGGCGGGTTATAAATAATAAATTATTATTACTATTATTAGGTTGAAAACATCAACCCTGGTTTGAAAACTAATTAAAAATGCTTCGTGAATTATGTTTCTGTTGCTCTCTTATTGTAACATTGGCTAGAGATTATAATTAGACAAGGCTACAGGATACTATGAAGCTGGTTTATATCCCTTTACTGCAGACAAACCTTATGTCCCCTCAAGCAGACAAAGATGCCTGAATAAGAGCTTAAAAAAAGAAGTGGAGGGAAACCAGAGCTCCCTCATAATATAACCACTGCTGGACTATACCATTCCAGCCTGCTGTGGGGGGGACGGACGGACGGTTAGATACTTTAACGCTTTCCCTCATAAAATACTACTGCATATAAAACGAAATGTCCCTTGCCAGATATGGAGTAATTCTGGTATGTTTTTCCTCAATATCCCATAGACTGTGTAACAGGATATTTGTTCTGTCAGGATATTGTATTAAGGCAGTGCCCCTTTAGTTCAGGTTCCACCAAAAGCCTCAAAATTATCTGCTTAAAGGTAATTGTAGTTAAGTGGCATATACATTGTTTAAATAGATAAAAATTCTATAGCTTCTAAAAATGATACCTGTTGAGCTTATTGTTTGAAACGTGACATAAACGCATAATTTGTGACATTACACATCAGTATGGATCACAGGGCATGTCTGATAAGGCATTAGCATTGTTTTTCAGTTTTCTGGCTTTGAAGAGCTTGAGCCAGTATGACATAGCTTTAAATCAGCAAGGTTTTTTAAATCATTGTATTGTATTGATCCTGCAGATACTTAACTAACTTCTTCAAATTATAATTGAGTTACAAGAGTCAGTGTTGCATTAGGGGTTATCAAGAGATGACTCATGTGGAGTTAACAACATTTACCACTAGATGTCAGTGACATTTCAAGAATTAGGAAAAGCAAAATAATATTTTGGACAGTGAGCAAATATTCTGTCCAAATATATTCTGACACACTTGCTTTGTTTTTACCTCAGAAAGCTTCTTCAAAAGTACTTGAATAAAAAGAAATGCAGCATTATTATTACTATTACAACAACTACTACTACTATTTCTGTATTTCTTTTCCTTCCAGTCTGGAGCCCAGGGCAGTGTACAGCAATAAAAACAGTCAATTAAAAAATTATTATGTTAAAGGCAATTAAAAAAACTCATTGCATTCAACAGAACCCAAATTAAAACTGCAGCAACATATTTCAACTGCTGGAACATTTATCTCCCCAAAACACAGATGAACAAGTATATATTTAGCTGATACCTAAAGACTACCAATGAGGAGGACAGCTGTACTTTTCCAAGAAGGCAATTCTATAATGCACTGAATAATTCTAACAGATATGATAAAGGAACCATGCAATACGTAGAATTAAATTTGAAACAGCTGACCATAGCATCTTTCTATTACTTGTCTTTAAAATTGTTTATTTTAAATGACCAAACCAAATTTATATGCATATGGTATGCCAGTATTTTAATGGAATAATACTCATTAAATAATCAGGAGCCAGCTGTTTACCTCGACAGGTGCCCAATAATGCTAATCTCTGATTTAATTAATGTTGTGCTGATACCATTTACTGGTTATACCAGACAAAATGTATTGTACTAATCAACTGAGTATAGGATTTCTCCGTATTGATGTGCATCCTGACCCAACAAAAGTGATCTATAGCTGGTAACAGGTTTTCATTCACAGATCTCTGCTACTGACAGACAAAAAGACGCTAGGAGAGTGGGCAACTGCTTTAGGTATGGCATTTAAATATAGTACTTAAGTTTCAGCAGCTGCAATGGACTCATCAGCTGGATTATTAGCCAGCAAGACTATCAAGTTTTATTTCAAAATTTCAGCACGTTGAAACTTTGGTCAGTAGAACCAATAGGAAAATATTATGAAAATCTAGTTCGTCTATAAAGTGCTGTGCACATTGATGGTGCTGTATTACTCTTCTGCCTCCTTGTTAGATCATGTATTTTTTCTTTACTGTTTTAAGGGAGTGAAAAGAATTGACCCAACCTTATTTGAGAATTTCAAAAACCATCATTTTGGAGATGAATCCATGAAGCGTCTAGATCTTTGCTCAATGTTGAAAAAGAAGCAGCCTAATGGCTACTATCACTGTGAGTCCTCTATCATAGTAGGTAAGTGCAATATATTTCTTATGCTTTTCTGAATTAGCTGTAAGTGAAATGGCTTTTTGTTATGTTCACTCATCCTCCTACCTCTTTCATGACCAAAGGAGTGTAGCATATGCGTGGACCTTTTGCTTAGTTCTTCAAGATTTCTTAACACAAACGCAGTGCCAAGAATGCAGCTTAAATAATGTTTCTGGTCAAGGCTTTGAAACTTGTTCACATAATATTGCCTCTTCCTCAATTTATCTTCTTAGAAAGTCAGATTAAACGGGAAACAATAGGCACTGTTTGAATTTATAATTGCCAGGGCTGCAAACTTCAAGCAACTTGATTGATGGATTAAAACAAATTAAAGCTTTACATTAACATTAAAATTGCTTTCCCCCTCCTGGATTAATAAGAGAGGCTGTGACTGAGGGAAAGTTGCATGCAGGAGGTTCCTATATCCCACCCCATTGTGTGTACATGGGAAAACAGCACACTTAAAAATGACATACGAATGAGAAGCCTGCTTATTTTTTTCCTTTCCATGTGAAACTACACTAGCTTTCTAACAATGAGAACCAGAGCCAGCTGAAGCAAACAGTGTTCAGTGTCAATAATTCATTTAAGACTGGATCTTCCACAATACTAATAAGTTTCATTTTTAAAAGCCATGTGGATTTTAGCAGAGATGGCCTTTCTTTAGGGTGGCCTAGTGTCCTCTTCCATAGCAGACAGCCAGCTGCTTGGGATTGTGTCCCTTTTCCCTGTTCATCCAGTAAAATTCTTGAAACTGGCACTTAGGGAAGGGGTTTTGGAGGTGGAGAGGGGGTCGTGATCTGACCTTCCTTTCTTTTTAAATGCCAGATCTGGTTCCAAGTGCCTCCTACCGCTTACAAAGCAGCACTGTTGTTGTTTTTAAAGGCAATGAAATCTATTTATTTTTAACGTACTGTATTGACAGCAGGTCAAGCTTGTGGCTGTGTGTGAAAGACGTGAGGACATTTCCTTAAGGACAACTGCCAAAGGAAATGCAAAAAGAAAAAGAAAAAGCTGCCAGTGGATAATACTGCGTCTAACTGTGCCACATTAAGAGGGAACAGAAGCAGCTCTGCACCCAGAGCAAAAGCAACAGCTTTGACAGAAGTAGTAGTAGTAGTAGGAATACCAAACAGCTGCTAGGGATCAACAGTGGAGGACAGAGAGGACCACCAGAATGGGACACAGAGGAACTGATTTGGGGTGATATTGGAGTGAGATGCAAATTAAATAAATTTATTTTCAACAGTTGAATGCCATTTGTTTATTATTAATTTCTCACACAGGTGAAACTATTCTCTTCCTGCAATATCCTAAAAAGGCTTTAATCAATATATTTCTTTATTTGTAGAAAGCCAGGTGACTAAAGCATCATTAATCAACTTACAACCCTAATAATTACTGCAGCATACAGAGGACTAAAGCAGAGTAAAGTTTTCATTTGCTATAGAAATGTATAAAAGCAGTGGCTTTTATTATTAAATAACTACATACCACATTTCTATATTACTCAGTAACCAAAGACTTGTATTGTGATGGCAAAAATACCTTTTTGTTAGCCTGCAGGACCTTTCTCCATCAGCTTATTTCAATGGGGCGCTTTCCTCAACAGTGAAAATAACTATACTCTTTACCCTGGGTGCCCCTGACATACCCCAGATGATTTGGTCCTTATGACATTTTTACTGATAATGTTGGTTTGTAACTTTGTAACTTTGCATTGTGAAGTGCTTCACTGTTACTCCAAACGAAAAGGAGCGTAGATATTTTTTAATTAAAATAAGAAGTAGCATGTTGACTCCAGTTAGAAGCCTCCACTAATGGAAGGCAAGGAGAAATGATTCCTGCTGATTTCTTCTTCTACCTGCAGCCCTCTGTAACCCCATAAACCTAGATTATCCACAGCAGTTGGAAGGTGGCGTAAGGAACTACAGGGGAAAGGATGACGTGGCAAAGCTCTCTTATCCCCATCTTCTGTTAGCAGGGCCTCAGTGAGATCTTCTGTGCATGGAAACATTTGTTCTGTTTGCAGAAGGGCATTATTGGATGCAATCCAATACATTACATTTTTAGCCTGAGTAAAATCAATATCCTTTATTGAATTTTATGTTGATAGTCTATAACATTTTCTTAAGGTATTATGGCATAAAGAGGCATTTTATTAGCAAGGGAAAGGTGCTCTTGGAAGTGAGTTTATATATACTAGAAAGATACCGCAATATATTTTTTTGCTAATGAAACAGTTCAAAGCAAGTTCTGTAGGTTTTTCAGGTTCACTTCTCACCACTGTGCCATTTGATTTTGGCTTTTATTCTGCTTTGGAGCATGCAGCACAGATTATTACTAATGTTTATTCTTGCACTTTATATTTTGGGCTCTGAGTAAAAATAACTGTCAAATATAACATGGCTAAACGATTGCAAGCAGTTTTTCCACGTGGCCTTCTATTTTTTATTTTTTTATCGTGCTTAATGCCAATTTTGAAATGCATTCGCATCCTCAGTTTTCATGTTTGTTTGAACAAGCATAAGGTAATGGGGCTTCTATGAGCCTTTAATTACCGTAGTTTATTCCTGTTCATTCCCAGCCTCAGCAGTACTGCATCAATCCTTATTTAGTAAGTTCCTGTTTCCTGCAGCATGTATGTGTGTCTATTCCTGTGTCATCTATGCTGTATTTGCTCATTGTGCGTTTACTGTCAGAACAATTGCTCCTGTTTTATTCTATTCTTATTCTATTCAAGTTCCCCCACTATAGGAAAGAAAGCTGCCTTATTATTTCTAAGAATACAGTTCTGGGGCAGCAGGGCAGAGCCTTGGTCATGTTGCTCCATAGACAGTGATGGCCTATTTTACCTTGCAGTACAATGAGACAGGAATTAAGTTGTCAAGACCTGATGTAGAAAAATTCACTGTGCTACTTCAGATTGCAGGAGGCAATTCAAATTTTAAGTTCTCTCTCTGTTAAAAAGAAAGCGAGGAAAACTCAATGCAAGTAGAAACTAGCAGAGCAGGAAAAGAGGTGACCTAGAATCTTTCACCCTAGCATTAGCAGGGTGCCCCCCATAAGTTTTTGTGTGGAGGAGTATTAAAAAATGTGATGCGACTCTCTGCAATCTCGGGTAGGTACTGTCCACTCTTAGCACCTCAAATTCTACCACTCATTCTGCATGTGTAAACCAGGCAATATCACTGTCTTCAATGGTTTATGTGAAATACAGTTGAAAGTTGTTTCTTCAGTAGAAAGATATGGTGCTTTAAATCTTTTATGATTTCATTTATACCTTTTGTTCTTCACTGCCAGCGATATCAGTCCTGATGAGACTGATGGGGAAAAGGCTATGCTGGAAATGAAGTCAGCCGAGTGGCGTGAGATCAGAGTGGGCAGATAGGGGAAGTGTTAAGACTTCCACATGTTTCAAGGAAAACATTTTAAGGTCAGATCATGTTTTCACATTCACCAGCTGATAAATAAATGTGTGAGAAACTGAAGGATCCAGAGCGGCAAAGAAAAGGCCTAAGGTTTCAAAGTGAGCCAGGTCATTCTTACCATTGTAACTTCTCACTAAATTCGCATTAAGCTGTCCTGTATTTTTCACAGGACTGCGCACAATGGCTTTCCAAATTGGTCCTCCGTTTCTTTGTTAAAAAACCATAGGTATTGCTCATGAGCGCTTTTATTTTTAAACCAAAAAGTGCCGCTCTAGTATATTTATAGTGAATTGAATATGAAAGAAAAAGATCTGAAAAGACGTGACAGCAATATTTGTTTCGCACTCTCTAATTAGAAGCTTCATTATTTTGATACCTCAGGAAGATACGGTGCAAAAATAAAACATCTGTAAAGGGCTCAGTTACTATTTTCAGCTCTAAACAGGTTTGTTTTAACTCCCCTTCTTAATGATGGCTATTAGTACATACATAGAAAGATAGATAGTGTTTTGGAACAGGTGCTTGACACAACTTGTCTTGCTCAGTATGTGATAAGTTACTTATGTTTTGCATATGAATGCTGTTATAGGGAAGCAAGAACTCTCTCCCCTTTTCATCCTCTTACTCCTGTTTCACAGCTATCTGTCTGTCAGTGTTTGCAGTATTGCACTATTACCACTGAGGTCAAGTTTCCAGCCTCATTCTGTCTTTCCCATTATAAACTGTACTGTGGGTAAATTCATACAACCAGTGCTGTTTTCTAGAAAAAGAGGTGTTGTACCTCACCATGAACACCTCCCTCATTCTTGTAGAATGGCAACGGTGCCCAGCTGAGAGGTGCCAGAACTGAGTTCTTGTAAGTTGCAGCTGGAAAAAAAGACTTGCATACAACTATATTCATTTATTCATTTTTTGCAGTAACAAGTGAAAGCAAAAAAATTTCATTTATTTTATTTTTCATAGTTCTAAACCACTTTCCCAGCAAATACTTTCCCGAGTTGTGTTGCCCAAAATATCACAAAGCTTTTAAGGCAGCTTGTTTCACTTCAAACACAATGCTTTCTGAACAGGCAACGTACATGCTAAGATGCAAGTCAGCATGCATGTTGATGTGAGGCATCAAGTGATGCACATTTATGTGTAAATCAGCTGTTAAAGAATGTGAGGAGACAAACATGATCAGCAGCTTCATTTTCTCTTCTTTCAAACTATCAGGCTCTATGTATACACACTCATATTTACATCCAGTGTGCTGGTTTGGGAAATGATGAGCACACAGCATTAACCACAATCCTTTCTCTATCCTGTCATTTCTTATAAAGTACTGTGTTTTGATTAGTTTTCTCCCAAACCAGCTTCAATCCAAATTGAGAAAAAGAGCTACTTTAAAGCTGGTAATTTACAAACAGCCTATGTAATGCTATATAGTTTTCAGTGGACGATGCAGGCACCCTTACTGTTAAGACAGATATTTGGCCATCAAAAACAAAACATTGAACTCCTGTCTTTCACAATTTGCACACATCATTTAATCCTTTTTGAATTATCATAGGT